ATTATCTATTATTGTTAATTGGACTAGATCAGGGGTTCCAAAAACTTATTTTGTCTACTGTCTACTTTGAGAATAAATTATTTTTTAGCGCCGCCATTTTTTCACCTACTTAAAGACCACTATAACTTCAAATTAAATTAATTACTGAGATTAACATTCATTCTAAACGAGATTTTTACTATAACCCGCAAGAGTTAACTTGAGACCTGAGCGCAGTAGGTAGTAGACAACGGCGCTCGGTCTCAAGTTAACACTTACGGGCTACACCTGCCAATGAGAATGATTATTGAGACGCAACTTTAATAAAATAGTATTCAGACAGAGTATCTTTTATTCAAAATAAAACAAACATAATCGACTCTAATATACAAACTAATGTGAAAGATGAATCTGATGCTGTTTAATAAGTTTGTTGAGTTCAGATTCCAATTTACTCAAGAACAGCCGCAAGTCTCCACGTTCGGTAACATGCAAACGATTTCTCTTTTTATTAAGCAGCGTTGTCACAGCACTAAAGCCACGTTCACACAAATATGACGATGTGAATGCTATCAAGAATCGTTGAACGATTGACCACAATCCAGTTTGCAATTGCGGGATCGGTTTTTGCAGCCAAAATTCTTGGTAGCCATTTTTGAACTTGATTTTTATTTCCTCGTTCGTTGTCTGCTGCTGAGGTGATATTGCTGTGTTGACATTTGAAAACGGATCCAACACCCAGTCTGGTATTTCCAAGTTCAAAATATCGTATAGTATCGTTCGGTGAAGTAAATGTGGAGGTTTTCCAAATGTTGGCAGTAGGCAAACAAGTCGTCGTTACTGCAGGATACTGATAAATTTGGAAAATTGTGAAACTCACGTATGCCCATATTATTTTTGTGTAGAAGCAGTTTGGCTGCGAAAGCAGCAACGACATTTTTTGTTTTCGCCTTGCAGTTGGAGATTCATGTCGTTGAACAATTTATACAGGTCTGTCATGTAACCATGACAGACCTGTATAAATCTATACAAGCTATATCATTCTTTGATGTAATGAGCTTGTTGCTCAATTCTGTATCTTTAGTTTCCAAGAACTAGAGTTCTGTGATAGATCACAGAGTCAAACAGGTTCTAAAATCGAGTCAGACAATTGCCTCTTAATAGCCAACGAACTTCAGTATGAAACAACAAACGGTTGAAATCTTCGTCATTAGTAACACAAAGCTGATGAAATAATCTATCATTCAAAGAGCTGTTACGGATTTTATTGACTGCTTTGATGACATATTGCAGTGATTGAAATAGTCGTTCACTTAAATTTCTAGCAACCAAATGTTGTCTATGAGTAACGCAATGTCTTAGAGGATGGAATATGCGCAATGTACAGCGAGGATATCTGGAATTTTATTTTTTAAGTATGCTATGAAGCCTTTATGGCACCCTGTCATAGCCGGACCCCCATCTGTAGCAACTGATATAATATTTTTCAAGGGAATTCCGCACAGAGTTGCCATGCATAAACTCGTTTATCTCATTCGACGCTCAATCGTACGCAACAAGTAAGAACAAGTATTCTATGAACCAGCCGATTCTACTCTCGGGGTCGTATTCCACAACTCTACTCAATGCTCAAGTCAGGACTTGAGCAGACTTGAGTATGATTTCAAACACTGTCAAATACGACCCTAATGGCAAGGACTTGAGTATGATTTTCAGTGCTCACTGCAATACTCAAGTCCTGACTTGAGTATTGAGTAGAGTTCTAGAATACGACCCTAAATCTCCGTCCGAAACAATTACTGCCAAGTAAGCAATACTTGACCAAATGAAAAGACGCGTAATGCGAATGAAACTTCATACTTGATACTTGTCTTTTAATTTTGTCGAATATTACTTATTTGACAGTAATTGTTTCGGACGGATGTCGGACGGAGGTCGAGAGTAGACCCCCTGAAATGCACAAATCTGGTTATTTAACAAAAACTTGTTAAAACATGATCGCTCGCGGTCTATTATCTACGAAAATTACCTATATAATAAGAAATATTAAAATGCGAAACTGTGTCTGTTGCCTTTTTATTTGTTTGTTTGTGTTTACTTTCATTTCGAAACGGAGCGACCGATTGACATGATTTTTATTTTATTTATTCAATAAAACAGAACAGATATATAAACTATACGGAGAGAAATATCGAACCGAGATTAGTTTGAGCAATCTCTTAATTAAAATTAGTTAATGTTCACAAGTTATAGTCGAGAGTCGAGAGCTCAGTCGGTGTCTTACGGCCGCTTTCTATATTTAATCCTGAATCTAAGATTGTTTTCTATCCAGATTGTATTCGATCCATCGATGGCTGCCGAATCTGTATTTCAATATGTCTATCTCGGCTCTAGCGCCCTTGAAAAAAACTGGATCGGTCGTAAATTTACTCCCTCTCTGACGTTTAGTTCCACGCAATCAGAGTAAAAGATCATTACATGAATTAGTGAATAAAATGGTGGTTATGTTTCTAAGATTAATTTATTTATACATATGATTTTGACAAAAATATAAATTAATTGCAAACTTTCAAGTATAAAATATATAAACCGTAAGTACGTCAAGAATAACGTGTTTCGAGGAACAGAACGGAAAGTCTATTGTCCAGAACGGAACGTTTATTGTCAAACGAGCGGGACGGCCATACGGGATGGAAAAAAATAAAAGGATGGCGCGCGCGGCGGCAGCGGCGAAATGTTAGGGTCAATTTTTGTTTTGTTGATGTTTGTTCGTATTCGTGACGTGATAAATAATCTAAATTATAAAAATACCGTTTTGATTTAACTTTGATAAACGGAATTATTTCAGTTAAAACAAATTCATCTGATGTTCAGCCTAAATTTGGATGTAAATTCAGCGTCAGTTAAACTTACCTTGAAGTTTATACGCCTAAACGTTCTTGAGCTCAGTCCTATAACTGAGCAAATGTTCAAGTTCACAATCGCTATCACTTAAAAATAACTTCCATTTTTACACGATTACACAATACAATCGGTCAAAATTGGAGGATCGCTACTATAGATCGAACACGTGCAAAATCCGATTTGTCAAACGTATGCATTGGATATTGAAAGCGCACAACTGTCACTACCATACAAATGTCAATCTAAAAATGCCATACGCCCTCGCACAGATGGATTGAAACAAAAGAACAGAATAACGATCCCTCGATCGGTTATTGAAATAGTAAAAATAGGATTTGAATATTATTCAAGCTTAGATAGCAAATTATGGATTAAGATTGAATATAGAAAGCGGCCGTTAGGGTCGTATTCTAGAACTCTACTCAATGCTCAAGTCAGGACTTGAGTATGATTCAAAGCACTAGAAATCATACTCAAGTCCTTGCCATTAGGATCGTATATCCAGTGTTTGAAATCATACTCAAGTCTGCTCAAATCCTGACTTGAGCATTGAGTAGAGTTCTGTAATACGACCCTTAGGATCGTATTCTAGAACTCTACTCAATGCTCAAGTCAGGATTGCACTGGAAGCACAAGCACTGGAAATACGACCCTAATGGCAAGGACTTGTGTATGATTTTCAGTGCTCACTGCAATACTCAAGTCCTTACTTGAGTATTGAGTAGAATTCTAGAATACGACCCTCAGAGTCTTCCTAGATGAAATTACAAATCTCCCCCTAAGCCTCTATACAACGCCCCCATTTTTTTTCTGGTATTTTTTATCGCAAATTCCACTTCATAGTATAGTCGGATATTACGAAAGTGAGTTTATTGACAAATTAAAATGGAGGATTTCGATGTTTTTTTAAATAAAAAATAAAGTCAACATTTGGAGTCATAAATGTTGTGAATACTGTGACAATCTAGAAGTAACATCATCATCAACCCATTTATATGTCCCACTGCTGGGTACGGGTCTCCTTTCAGACGAGGGTTTAGGCCATAGAAGTAACATATACGCTTCCATTTCGACTTCAACAAAATACTATGTGCTCCCCTGAGCTAGATGTGTGGCGATAACTTGCAGTCTGGTAGCGGCATAAAAGAAGAAAATTTTGGTAGAATTTGAAACAAGATAGATATATAAAACGTTTATTTGGATCTACAGACACACGTACATAACATAAAAATATGTAATATAATAAAAAGAAAAAACCAGTAGAGTCGCAGGACTGCCGAACACCCAGTTGTTTATGTGTGCTGTAGAAGTGCAAAAAGGCCATAGCTCAGCGTCAGTGTTTACTCAGGAGCAAACCGCTGATTTTCAGCTATAACCTAGTGGATGCCGCGGATACGATAACCAGCCAGCTGACGCCATTTTCATGTTGTATAAATTAAACAAATAATAATTTCGAACTAAATAAATACGGAAGATAATATAAATATAAAAAATGATAATTTTTTTTTTTATTTTAATACAAGACAGAAAAAGACTGTTGAAAAAGCATTATAAAGTTTCTTAAAGTTTTACGTTTAAGGTATTAATTTCTTTTACGTTACAGTAATGTTACTACGGAACCAAAAGGATTTTTCTGAGCATCATCTTTGTTTGTTCAAACTTTGGCTTTCCTGTGTTGTGGTTGTAGCCTTGTCATCCTAAACTATTTTAATTAAATTACAGTAATATTCCTATGAAAGAAAAAGGGTTCTACATATAACACGGTGTTGTCTTTGCGTCTTGGTCTTGTGCTTCTAACGGCCAAACTCTGAAGGACGCGTCTAGATCTGCCAATAGACAACTCTTTGGATATTTGCTACGTGACGAACCCTGATAACCTCTCGGGTCGTATCCTAGTTCCTGGCCTGCCAAGATACATAAAAAAAAATTATTTCACCCACGATCGTGGTGGCAGCTATTTGCTAGGTCGGTCTTTTTTGTCTTTTGCTTTTTGCAAAACTCATACTTGTACTTTTACATCAAGGTGTGCTTGCAGTATTTAGATAAACATAAAGTTATTTTTGTACGAATATTGTGGAGATTATTTCGTATTTTTAATCGTAGTATATAGATAGCCGCCCGCCCTTCCATCTCAGTATATAATAAGGTAGCAGTGAGGGTCGTCTCGCTAACTTAACAAGCACTCACGAACTTCGGACGCCTGTCAACATATTAAATCTCAAGTAAGTAAATAAACAAAAACTAATTTAACACTATGTAATGTATTACGTGTTTCCGTACAACAGTGGCGTTACGAACATAAATTATATAGGAAGTAGTTTAATTTTATTTTTTAAGGTTGCCTCCTTTACTCTTGTTGTTTAAATTTTTTGTTTCGTTTGGTGATAAAAAGTTTTAATTAGACGGAATGTCGACTTCCTACCGAAAAACAACAGTCTTTTTATATTTTTGCAGTTCTGCACGTTTGACAGTGCAAAAAAAGATTGAATATTTTTCCCATAGATTTAACATGCTACACAATTGACCTCAATTATTTGAATTAGACGATATAGGACCTATTCGCAAAACGACTTACTCCTAAAAAAAATCTCTAATCACAGTTACATTAGGTATTTTACTACTGAATTTCATGAAAAAAGTTCTAAATACCTAAGGAACGTCCGAATTCGTACAATTTGAGTGGATGCCAAGAAGCTTCACTCACTGCGCTTCGATAGTTGCTTGGATTGAAATACTACATGATAAGGAAATCGCGAAACTATTTAGCTGTATACTTAAAATTTTGTTATGAAAAACGTGAAAATGTTATCAAAAATTGAAAGAGGAATTTTTTAATTTTATTTTGTTGTGACTATATAACTCTTATCTTCTATTTCCATATGTCTTAGATTGGACTACAGCCACTTTTCCTTATTTTAAGACTGCGTTTTAATCAGATACATTACAAAAATTTAATCATTTAGGTACCTACATACAATCCATCGATACGGACTCGTGAGACGTAGTAAGAAGTTACAAAGAATATCTTTCGAAAATATCAGGAATTTTACTTACTTGAAGAGTTGCTTGTCACCGGTGCATACTGCACCGGTGACAAGCACCGGTTGACCGTAGAAAAATATTATTAGATGCAGTATTCATTACAAAAGGTCACGGCAACGACATTCAACTTCGAGTATTGACTACCCTTCACAAAAACATTCGATGAAACACTATTGGCTGATATAGTTTATAATTTATTTTACATATTTGTGCAATAGACCGCCAGTTTCGACATTTAACATACGAGAACCTGTCCACGCGTAGCTTTATTACTTGCCTTCTGAAGAACAATGTCCGTGACCTGCTTTCGTTAGGTTTGCTTTTAAAACTTAACATAAGGTACGTACTTATTCAAAATGTGAACAAGCAAGTCCCTGGTGACTTTAATCGCAATATAATAATAATTTTGAGCCATTGCACAAGTCTGTAAACCAATTAATCTGCCGTTCGTGGTTCAAGATAATATGGTTAAAATGAAATGATACACTGTCCCGTTAATGAAACGAAAAAATTTGAAATTCTATTCATGGAAATGATTTAGCTTTTAATCTATTTCTGTCCTAAAAATCTATTTTGGTCAGCATTTCACAAACTTTAAAATATTGTTTTCAGATTTGGAATTAGCAAAATGAGGGGATTCACTTGCGTTCTCGTAGCGCTGGCAGCAGCAACTTGCTCCAATGCATACTCTACCGGTGCCCCGGAATCGGCCTGTAAGGACATGATTCCCAGGCATCCTGTGTCTCCGCAAACCTCGCTCCCGCCTTATATCATCACAACCAGTGCTAAGGTGGCACTTATTTAATTTTGTGATCGTTTAGCTCCGTTTAGAGCTTAAAGATTAATAATTTGCAATTAAGAATATAGCAAGAATATATAATTTAGAAACTAATTATTAAAGTCATCGGCATGAGCCGTTCTGATGCATTCCGAATCAACAATAAATTGATTATTTCTTCGTTGGATCCAGAATTGGCGTTGCAAAAAAATATTTAAAAAACTTCTGAATGGTTACGAATTTCAAACGACTGATAAAAATGGATAAAACTATGCTGTTTATATAAAAACTCGCAATTGTTTTTTAAGTTGACAACAATCGTATGAGTTCCCAGTACGAAATGGCCTTCATAGTCGTTCGTTTACAATCATGGTTTTCTTTCAACCAATATTTTTACAACGTAAACTGTTCATATAGGTATTATCAATTTACCATGATCTATGATGATGCAGGTAGTGAAAGCCGGTACCCCCATAGAAGTGGTAATTTCTGGCAAGGACAAGTCCAATACCATCGCCGGATTGCTCCTACAAGCGCGCAAAGGTGACAAGCCCATTGGCACCTTTAAAATCACCCCTCCAAATAACCAGATCGCTCAACTGCTCAACTGCGGAACCCCTGGCGTGAGTGGAAATGTTTTTAATAGTATTTTACTATAATGCATGCACACCCTTGAAGTTTTTACTATGTACCTGGATTGACGGTCACTGTCATAACGTGTCGAAAACTTAATGGTTTGTAGTTCCTTTGCATAGCTGTACTAAAATTTTGTGATTCGATACCGTCTGTCGGTGTTTTTTATTTGGTAATGATTTTTTGCTATATTATCTTTTCTACGTTATGGAATGCAGCATCCACTGTATTGTTTTTTTTTTTTTTGTTAACGTAATATTCATTGTAAGATATTAAACAAATATGCTCTAAATTTAATTTTGAAAGTGTGACTCCACAGAGCACACCTTGGCGCTTTGCACCAAATATTTGGTATACGTTGGGCGCACTATAAGTTTCCGGAATGAATAAGAAAAAAATACTAAAATGGTCAGAAATTAATTTATTGTATCTCAAAATATTCTCCGGTAGCGTTAATGCACTTTTACAAACGAATGAACCAATTTTGAAAACATTTATGCCACTCCTTCATGACAATCTATGAAACATATTTTTCATACTCTTCGACAGCCTCTTCATGTGATGAAAATCGTTGACCGCGTAATTGGTTCTTAACTTTTGGAAATAAATAAAAGTCACAAGGTGCCAGGTCGGAACTGTACGCGTGATGGCTCATAAGGTCAACGTTGTTCACCTTCAAAAATTCATTTGTCTGTCTGGCCGTGTGAGAACTGGCATTATCGTGGTGCAAGAGGATACGGCGTTTACGGTTATTTTTATGGAGTTTGTCAATAACTTCCGGCAAACAAATGGTCGTGTACCAATCACTATTCACGGTACGATTCTCCAAAGCAACAGTAGCCACGTGTCCAGTTTTATTAAAAAAAAGAAGCAATCATCCGCTTAGAGGCTCATCTCGAAAGACCCCAAGAAGAAATTTGACGCCCCTTCGTTGAATCTGGTAAGCATGGCATTGCACCAAGTGACGCGATCCGTTTTTTGAGCCTCAGTCAAATTGTGTGGGATCCACCGAGAGCACAGCTTTTTCACACCCAAATGTTGTATTTGACCGCCCGAATCTCATGGTATGTGACATGCCTGTCTGTATTGATCATACGGCGCACAGCATCGATGTATTTGTTGCTCACAGCAGTGGACTGACGATCATCACGCGACACACCGCGCTTGAATTCTGCAAACCAGCTAAACATAGTCATCTTACATGGTGCTTCATCACCAAAAGCGGTTTGAACCCGAGGGAAGCCCCGCTGAGCTGTTAAGTTACACTTAAAGTCGTAAAAAATCATACTACGAAGATTTCCATGGTGATGTAGACAACCAATTTCTAAAATGACGCCACAATGTAAAACAAGTGACAGTCAGATGAAACAAACTGTATTCTACAGCCAAAGAGTTCCATTTTCAAATATTGTAATTACTTTTTAAACATTGTATTATGTAACTGGCCAGTTCCGGAAAGTTATAGTGCGCCCTATGTATACGTGATCACTATATTGAATCATTGAAGTGATGTACATAAAAGTGCACGATATTGATTTTTATGTTTTGAAGCACAATCCGCATGTTTTGATTTTCGATGAGTTGGTCCAGGGAAATACTTCCCTGCCGACAAGCAGTAAAGCGTTCCGATTTTGAAAGGTAAGAAGGGTACTGGTGAAATTACAGGCACATAGGACTTGTCAACTTATGTCTCATGATGACGGGCGCAGTGGTAGTGCACCTCAGATCTTTGCGATGTACAGTTCTGAGTGTACTGTAACTATTATGAACAGGCGTGTAGCTTACCATCCGGCAAACAACTCGTTCGTCCCGTCACTTGGTATTATAAAAAAAAGGATCTACTATCAATTTATGAAACTTCTTTAAGAACTTGTTTAAAATGTACCTACAAAGATGAAGGTCAATAAGGAAGTACTTTAAAAATACGGTTCATGTGAATATGATGTAGGAAACGTTGTATTTACGTTTTAATTATAAAAGTACCTTAAGAAGGAATGTTACCTATAAAATAACAGAGCAGTAGTTAAAAAAAATTGATTACGTTATATTATATGCGTTTTATTACGTCGGAAGTATTATACTATCGGAAGTACCTTAGGATGTACTAAAAATATAGTCACATCGTCATTTAAACATATTTTAATAGCGAGGCTGGTAATAAACAATAAATACGTGTCAAGACGTGTGGATTGATTTATTTATCGTCTATTAGTCGTATACCCTAAGCGTATACCTATATAATGCAAACTTCGTCACGTCTATGTGTTTCCGCAAAAGCTTACGTAAATTTATCACCAATATTGCTAAACCAAAGACAACTATCCCTTGTGTCACGCAGTAGCCTTTATTTTTTTTAAATATATAAGCATTATTAAAAAATAATTCCATTATAATAACAAGCTGTAACATGCGGAATTATACGTAAATGATATTTACCTTGGTAATCAAGACCATAAAATCTTTAACAAACAATCGCCAACGTTTCAACATTTTTGGATTACTTTGCATTACTAACATAAATGAATTTATGTACATATATAATAAAAGTCGGTATGTACGTATTGGTAGTACAGAGTCAAGAGTTAGGCTTGACATTTCAGTTTTAAATTCAACTCTATGTCGCTTGGGATGAGAACTATTCAAAGTGTCAAGCTAGACATGCTTTTGTTTGTACAATACAAATTTTTGTTACGTGTTCTGTGGATAGCACATTAGCAACCTACATATTATTCTATAACGTATAGACAAGAGCACATATAGCTTGCCACTTTGGACTGTGGCCCACTCTAGTAAGCGGCACAGAGTTAAATGCTATAGTAAAATTTTAAAAAAATGCGCTACAAGGGCGGAATAGTTATTTGTTATGCAAGGCTGCAACGTTGTTGTATGACGCGAGTGCTTGTATTGAAACCTCAGTTACTCAGGATGTAGGAAGGAGACAAAAATAGAATTCTGAGCGTAGCGAGGGTTTCAGGGCACGAGTCGCAAATCAACTTTGCTCCCGAGCGAAACACACAACTTTTCACCTCACTGACTAGCGAGGAAAATGGTAGATCAAAGAAAAACAGTTGAACCAATAACCAATCAGTTTAGTTCTTCGATGAAATAAAATAATATCTTAAACAAAGTTAGTTGTCGTTGTCAATGTAATGTCAACAAATATAAATTATACTAACAGATCTAAATTACATAAATAATGTACGACAAATCGCGTAGTTGAACCATTGACCAGTTGAACATAATGACACCGTTATGTTGTTTTTTCATCGAAAGAAAAAGTTAGGTGCACTACAGTCCATCGTCAAGTTCGTATTTCAAAAACCTTTTCCACGCTAGTGTGGAAAAATGCTTTTGCGCGCAGATTGCTAATGAGAAATCTGGCTTACGAATGAGCAGTCGAGTTTAATCGGTATGACGATTTCAAGTGAAATTTGCTTACCTATGAAATAAAGATTGAGAGAGAAAGCCTTTCCGAGCTAGTGAGGTGAAAACAATATTTCTACCCAGTTCACTAGTTTCTGTACTTTATTGTTTTTACTTCCCAACTGATATATCTCATATTCCGATAGAGTTAAAGACAAATCAAATACAATGTACGATAGATTTCTTAACGCACAAAGAGATTGTTGCATCATGTCAAGGTTGTACTCTGTACAAGAGGTCGCATCTAGTAGAGGCGTCATAATTTATTGTGCTTTTATACAAATGTGAACATAAGACGTTAGACGATTACTTAAGCGTGTATTTAAATTTATTGTAATTTCTTAATATTTAAAATTTTCAAGACTTATATTGAGTTTAAAATTTAAATAACAAAAGTACATGCTCATTAAATTTTCTTAATAGCTATTTAAGGACACACTTCTTAGTAACATACAGCAGTAGATCTCCTTGTTAAAGAGTTCATCCAGGGAAGTATAGCCACCTTATCTTTCTGCCGCCAAGCAGTGAGCATTACTGCGTTCCTGTTTGGAAGGGTAAGGGTGCTGGTGAAATTACAGGCACCTGGGTCTTGTCAACTTATGTCTCAGGGTAATAGTGACAGTGTCCCTAAGATCTTTATGATTAAAAGCTCTATATGGCACTGCAACTCTTATGGATAGGCGCACGAGTTACTCATCCCGTCATATATTTACGATAAACAGTCATATTTACTGACTAATAAAGTTAATTTATCTTCAGTCAACCTGAGAGAGGTGTGGATTCAATAGTCAATGCGGTTGCGGACGGCATGTACATGTAAGACTTTCAGTATTAAATTATGTACATTTGCAAATGTTCAGTAGCAATATCTCTCGCTAACGGTTAAGGAAAACATCGTGATGAAACCTGCTCGACGAACGCAGTTCAGAAAACCCGTGCACGGCAGTGGGACGAATAATGAGTTGATGATGAACAATAATGCAAGCGATGCCACTGTTCATTTGACATCGGCGCCGTATGCACATCAGTGGCGTAGCGTCGATTCCTGCAGCGCGGGGCCAACTTTACATTATTTTGCTGCCTCCTCTTTTTTCATGATTACAAAAGTAGTTCGTTCGGCCAGGTTCGATTCGATTGTCGGCACCTTTGTGTTCTTCAGGGTATCGTTTTCGAAAATAGTGTAATTATTTTTTAATATTAAGTCAAAAAATCTCATTGACTAGTTAGGGCTCGGCCTTGCTCGCCGCTGCCCCCATTGATGTGCCGCCCAGGATCATAGCCCCCTCTGCAGCCCCACGCTAAGCCACTGGCCCACATTACTACTTGTTGGCAGTACTTTCCTGGACGAACTCTTTCACAAGGAGCTCTAATGCTACTTAAATTTATAAAACAAATATCTTGTACAAACAGTTATGTTACTTATTATACATATAATATAATAAGCAATTAAATATACTTTATCTGTTAATTTTAAAATTTAAATTTATTTATGCTAATTTAACCAATACTAGCGCATAATTCCAAAGCCTTAAGCCTATATAACATTCTGGCAGCCTTGCTCAAACGCCGTGACCGAAAAGAACCTGTATTTATTTACTGCACATGATTGTTTCACGACTGTTCACTTGCAACGACTAAAACCTTGACCGGTAGGATGTTGAACTCTTGACAAATAATTACAACAAAATGAGTTGTAGTATCTCTTAACTCAAACCTAAATTATATGATACTGTTCGTATTCCCATAACTCAAGAATCCTTGGGCGACTTAACATAATTTATGTTACAAGTTTGTTACACTTGAATGCCTACAAATGTACTCGTATATTTAAATAAAGGTTCTTTTACAGAATCGTCTATTTCCAATTTTTATATGGTATAACCTTGATCTGATGCTACAACCTGCATGACAGTCTGCGAACTACCCAACTAATCGAATACTTACACTAGAACTATTGTGCTTGAGATCGATTAAATAGGTTTTTTTTTATAAAATCAAGTGACGGAACGGACAAGTCGTGCGCCTGATGGAAAGCTACACGCCTGTCCACAGTTGCAGTACCACTTAGAGCTTTAAATCGCAAAGATCTAAGTGGTACTGCCACTGCGCCCGTCACTCTAAGACGTAACTTGACAAGTCCCCTGTGCCTCTAATTTCACCAGCACCCTTATCCTTCAAAACCGGAACACAGTAGTACTAATGCTGATATTACTGCTTGGCGGCAGAAATAGGTAAGGTGGCAGTAGTTCTCTGGACGAACTCTTTCTAAAGGATACAAAAAAGTTTCAATGAGTTGTTGGCTTATACAGATGGTTTTCACGTTTTGGAGAAAGCTGTTTCGTATTTAAATTTTAAAAGTAAAATAAAAATGTATCTAGAATTAAAAAATGTATTGTGAATAACAGAACGCCGTCACCCACAAGAAGCATGACTCCAAACAAGACAAGCAGACAGTGGCATTTACGTGGACCCCACCCGCAGACTTTACCGATATAATCAAATTCAGGTGAGCTTTAACCGTTTAATATTTCGTATAGTGGTAGACTAAGTGGACTTGTCTTTAGACGGGCGTAGGCAGCTTTTGTTCATGCACTAATTCGAAGTTTTCATCAAATATACTATTTGGACACTGGACGGCACAGTAGGTACAACTATTGCTGTTGACGATAGCAGCCATAATCATGTACAATGCCATAGTGCCGTTCGCAATAAATCCAAGAGTCAATTTGATTAGCTTTATAGTGACTGTTATATTCAATGTAGAGACCTAGACAACCTTTCGTCCCGACTAAGTAGAGGCGTAGAGGTACATAATTAACGACCTAGCTAAAGGTTATTTAGTCTAGTTACATACAAAACGAGCCCGGTACTCCACCTACGCTACGATGAACTCGGGCTTGGCCTAGGGTGCGTGGTCGACTCGATTCCCGATTTGAGTCAATTATGAAACAAACATTTAAAGTTGATTCTGGTCAGGGTATTCTGGGTATTGCCCTCTGAGTTATCGTTACTCTGGTACTTATAATACATGAAATTCCCTAGTTTGAGACCAGAAATTTGTGTTTGTCTGGCATTTTTTTCCCTATACTTCTCTTTGGCTTAGCTTCCAAGAAAAATAATCTAAAAGAGAGACGATCAAGATACAACAACGCTATAAGCATCGCATTTCCACTACATCGGGAAATATGTCTTACATTTTGAACAATTATGAGATCTTGTACTCATAATAGAGCCTCCGTATACTACCTACTTTCGGGCGTCGCACTATGACTTTGTTTTAAAAAATTAACATGCTCTTTAATGGCGGCCATATTGAAAAATGGCAAAAAGTAAATTTTGACTGCAAGTAATTATTAAACACCCACAGAGAACCCCACATGCCGATTTTCTGTCGAATTAGAGCAAATTTTTATCAACCGTCAAAAGGTTTGTATGGCAGCCATATTGAAAAATTACTAATAGTAAATTTCAGTCACAAATTATTATTAAACACCCATAGAGTTCCCGATACGACGCTTTTCAGTCAAATTAGAACAAAATTTTGAACTGCCGGTCTGCTGCCAATAAAGTTTGTATGGTAGCCAAATATTTAAAAAAAAAATAGTTTTAATCGATAGTAATGTAAGGTCAGGTGGGGTAAGAAGAACATAATTTATTTCGAGACAAATGTTATGTATGAGCTCTAGGAGGAATAAATAATGTCTTATACGAATTTCGAAATCTTGCCCTGGTTTATCAGCTTTCCATGTTTTAACAATCATTACGCTAAAATTAATATTTACGATGTATCTGACAAAAACTTTCAGGTTGTGCTAACGTTTCTCTTCCCCTAAAAATGTTTTAACTAAAATATTAAATTTTGTAAAAATTCCTAACTGAAAAAAATGTACTACCAGAATTTTGCTGCTGGCCTTAAAAACTACCTTAAGATGTGTGATTGTTTACACATAAAATTGTATATAATATTAATATAAATTAATTAATATAAATTGTATATATATATATATATATAATATTATGGATGTACAGTTGCGTTTGTTCGAATATGACAATATTCCATTATGACAATTCATCAAAAAGTTTTTTACCCCGGTCACAGGGGAAGAGGAACATATGTTTCTCTTACCCCGTAAGTACTAGACCCTCTTACCCCAACAATGTTTTTGGTAGCTAGGGTTTTTGATTCAAATGAAACTCGTATTATTTGTTGTTCTTCCAAGATCCAGCCAAGAAAAAATTACGCGCCCATCTCGTGTTTTTAGACTTTACAACTGTAAATTTATTTTCTCTCTCTTAAATTTAGAAAATGATAGCGACATCTCTTTACAACCGTTAAAACTAATTTGTTTGTTTGTTTTATCGACTGAGAGACTATAGTGCTAAACGCTTTATTTTAGGTATTAAGGACTTTTGTCCCTCTTCCCCCGCTGCTCCTCTTACCCCACCTGACCTTAACAGAAATAAATAATGTATCTACTTTTGTATTTATTACTCAACGATACTTGAGCTTGTAACCGTGCCTATATGTTACTGTAAATAGAATTATTTTATAAATGGTATTTTTTCAGAGCCACTATCGCTTACAACGGTGCCGTGTTCTGGGTTGGCGTGGAATCAGCCCCCATCAAAGTTGTTGCCTAAATCATAATTTAGAATAATTTGGTACTATCAGTGTACTTAACGTAATCACTATTCAAGTTATAATTAACTACCCTACAGTATTCAGATTTCAATAAATATTTAAATTAAACAGTTACATATGTATGACAAAAAATAAATATTCACAAAATAAATTGTTGTTGTTTTAAATTAAACAAGGTGATGTATTTTAACAAATAATTTATTTTAAACATAGCACCTAGAGATTTGTCTTCGAGATCCTTTTACAAACATTGAAGTTTCAGAAAATATGAGTAAGACAGGAACTAAGATTGCACTCAAAGACTTACTAATATTTTCTTTTTTTTGGAATAACGAAATATGCAAGGATATTCCAGAGATTCACAAGTCTTTGAGCAAGCTTAATTGAAAGAAATATTCTCAGAGAAAGCAGTTCTTTACACACATATCTACAGTAACGTAACACATAGTAATATTAACTGTATAACAGTCACATAGCGCCTTAATAAGACACAAGATCCGATATTTTAGTGTTCTGATAGAAAATGGATTTGAATAAAATACAAACCTTAATTGAAACTATATACGATTCAGCCTTGAAGAATCATAGCCTGTTGATGAACGTATACTGACTCAATAAAATTAAATTTATTAAGATATTCAGATACAGGACATTTTTATAGATATCCAGATATAGCAGACGGTTATTACATTGAATATAGAATTTCGTGGAAAAGACACTTTTTCCAAGCTTACCGATAATATTACTCTTAAATGAAATTGTCAAAAACATTATTACCGAATGCAATAAATAAGGCAAAAGTAAAAGAAGAAACCGGCAAAAATATATTCACAGTCATTTGTAAGAAGTTAAACAATCACTTTTACAAAGAACATGCGCTTACAATATGAGTTATTGTACCATGAATTTATGACTCATCTCTGCACGACGCGTAGCTACACATTGCATGCATTGCTGTCTACACACTAATAAGAGTTAAGATATAAACACTACAGCATCAGTACAAATGCATTCTTTATCAACTATAAAGGGTAAATGGTATGACATGGTACACATTATTAATTATAGTGAGCAATACTGTGTAAATTTATAGAAAATCCTAATTGACTAACATTAATCCCTCAGTTAAAGCCATTAATTGCTGTTTATAATGGTTCTTTAGTAGCAAAAAGATATGTGAGGTGGATAGGCAGTAGGCTTGTAGAATTAACAGTTGCATTAAATAATGAGGATTTATATGTGGTAAAGGAATGACTCGAGATGACTGGCAAGACAAGGTTTATATATTACATGGATATACTTACTTAAATAATATACCAATAAATGGACGTCGGGTTCGCGCTAAAAAGTGTCCGCACCTGTAGCGCGTTAAAATAGCAAACAGAGCGTCAATCGCGGAACACTCTTCGTTTAATCGACTGACAGCGCAGTTGTCAATCATGCAGTCCAATATAATAATAACTTGTAAAAATTACTGCAGTAAAGTGTAAAAACAGGCTACACAAATAGGTATATTGTATTATCATAGTAATCATTTAAAAGTGTTGTTTTGTACAGTTGTATAGTATTTAATTTATATATAAATGAATCGTAAATATAAATTACAAATGCACACAAAATAATCAAATAACTAACTATCCTTTTTGTACATATTGCATGCGTAAACGATGGAAAGAGACCCATTATGTCAATTTCAAGAAGCTTCTTGGTCATTTTCAATTGTTCGAACCACAAGCGATTGAAATATTTAGAACAAAGAAACTGTAGAGTCGCTTTGATTTTAATCTTATTTTTTAAATGATTTTTTTTATTAAACATCAGCACTAACTAATAAAATACTATTGTACTCGTTTTACGATTTGGAATTACTTATCAGAAGTCAGAAAATACATTTGCCTGAAATAATGTTAGCTCGAATTTTCATAATGTCAAATATATATTTTTAGGAAGATTACAAAATAAAAGCTAATTTTCTTTTATTTTTAATCAAAATACTCGAAAGCGTTATTTTGTACAGTTGTATAGTATTTAATATAGGTTTTATTATAAATCAGTTTTCGAAATTACAGATATTTGAGGTTACGTTTAGTTGGAAGATGGGTACATTTCTTATAAATAAGTACCTACTTATTTTTTTTGTACTTATTTAAGCTTATTTACACATTTGTAGTAATATTTGTATGTATGTATCTGCCTAACTCTTTATTATTTCTTTAGGTATTCACCTAAATTGTACAAAATTCGACATAATTATATATATAAAAATTAATTAATATTTACGATAAAGGCTACTTCAAATTAAATTATTCTTAAAAATCTTCAATTGTTGCAAGCAAATGCTAAAAAAGCAAGTGCTGCAATGATGTTACAAATTAAATTAAATTTTTTTAGTTTTTTATATTTTGTTACACGTCACTACATTTGTATAGGTTAACTTCGGACATTTTTTTCGTGGTTTTTATATTAGACCCGACGTCCATTTGTTGGTAGGTCAATGCCAATAATAAATAAATTCGTTGAATAATATTACACATCTGAACTCAAAAAGTATAAATAAGTAGTGCATTAAACACAGGAGGCCATATAAAGCCTTCCAGCATGTGCAGTATATCTATCAGATAGATATAAAGAAAATATAACTAAATTATCATTGGTCTAAATTAAATGCACTTGAATTTAAGAATCTTATACCTAAACATTAAACATCACAGGTAATACTGAATAAATAAATACATAAATAAAAGATAGTACAGCCTATCATTGGTTCTGTATGAAGTAGCTCTGCCTCTTGAGTTGCCTGTAAAGAGAGATGTACTTCCCAGCAGCAGAGGTGCGAGGGACCACATACTGCTTGCAGAATAACTTGGGGTCTTCTGCCTTTTCAGAGAGTTCTCCACAGTCCAGGGCTCGTAGAAAGGCCAAGACGAAGGTAAAGCAATTGTGCCTCTCCTCATTGTATTGGTCAGCCTCCCATAGTGGAGTTAAACTCATCTGGAAAAAAGTACTGCTACAAGACCAGACCATCACTATTTTCATTTATTAGGAGACCAGGGAAATATTTTTTTTAAATAACTGTGACTAATGGAAGTTACCAAGACAGGAAATAAATGAACAAATTGTTCATTGTATCAAGATTTAACACATTCTCAGAATTTGAATTTTGGGCAAACCTATAACCTATGTTACAAGTATTCTGTAGGTGCGATTTTTTTCTAACTTTTACAACCTTGTGCCAATAGCAATATATTAAATAGCTTGCTAGCTATGGGAGTGAATTAAACAGGGGAATACAAACCTTTAAAAGCACACCATCCCAGATCTCATTCCAGAGCTCATCAAACTGCTCAAGGAGGAGGCACTGATCCCAATCAATGCTGCAGCCAATAGAGCTCCACTTCCTTGATGCTGGGTCCACACCTTTGATGCCATCTTCGCTGAACTCCACCACAAACCCAAGGGAATTAGTCACCCCTATATGTAAGTCCTTGGAGTTATAGTAATCACTGAAATGACATACAAAACATGTCTAGAAATATTATGCAGTTTTTTTAATAGGTGAGTATTTATGTATGTGAAAAATTTAAAATGAAATTTTAATGTGCAACACTTTTATATCACAAAAGTCGTGAGTCAGCCACTTCCTCTTACGAAAACAATAAAAACTAAACAAACGCAATTTCTATAGAAAACATTAGTTTTCAAGATTTACTTGAGAAAATCGCCGTGAGTAGGCTTCATGACTATAGCCCGTGGGTGCTGAGACGCCTTCACAAAAGGATACGGCACCCTGAAGCAAAAAATGAAGCACTTAGCAAAAGTCGATTATAACTATTAAAAAATTAAGTTAATAAACGAAAATTAAAACATACCTGAACGGCAGTAAATTATAGTCATACCTATCAAGAGTCTGTTTACAGACCGGACATTGTTCGGGAATAATTGTACAAAATACTTTGTGCTCGCAATGGTGGAAACAAAGGATTCCAGGATCCATTTTTGGACGACAAATAGAGCTGTATTTTCAATAAAACATTTATCTCTAGCTATTTGTATCTAATCGCAGATAATCTGAGAAGCCTTTGTCAAAATAAATCAAATAAACTAAAGGCAAATAACTAATTCACCAAGCAAAAGCTAATTACAAACTCCCAGATCCACCTTTCCCTTTCACATCACATTCTTGCCAGATTCGATTGACGAATTGCGTTCATACAATAGTGTTCCTATGACATTTTTTTTTATAACAACTAATTACGAGACCGTAGAAAAAATTTAATCTTACTTTTATTCAAACATTTCAAGATCTGTTATTTGAAATAAAAGGTATCAAAGCTCGGTTTACTAAGCCATTGAATATATCTGACAATAAATTTTGTAAAAATGAAAACAAAATCTCTTTCAGTATTAGAGCATACTTGTCAGTCTACTCAAAATGACAGTTGCAAACAGATGATGTGAGAAAGACATCCCATTGGTTGATGATACCAAAAAATTGCACTGTGATTGGATGAAGAAACCACCGGGATTTTTAAATATTTTTTTTTTTCATACTGAAAAAAAGCAAAATTATTTTTTAAAGATTTATTCAAAAAAGACTTTATATACATAACTTACAAAAATGTGTGTCATTATCATCATTACTATGTATTAATGCACATACCACTACTAACAATAGAATACCGAATGTGAATACCACGCTGCCTGCTGGCCAAATATAATTTAGGGGCTGACAGGTATTCGAATATTTTTTCTTTTTCTTTTAGCTTAATGGTGGTGCCCTTTTTGCAATTTCGACTAGAATAGAAAGGTAAACCTTTCTTTCTTTAGAGTCTACGCACTATTCGTATTGTCTAATACAGAGGTCTCGAAACTTGTCTGTAAACCACGTGCCATTTTTTTTGTTTTGAGAGTTGTACATGGATTCATCAACTTGAAAATATGTTTTTGGCAAATAGATAAATTGGTTATTTGATCTACAGATACAGAAAAATAATATATGTAATCTTAGAATAATAACGCATAGAATGATAGTTTCATATCAAACGAACTGTCACAAGTGAGGCAAAAACCAAATTCATGTAGGCGTAAGCAACTTGTAACTACGCTCGTCGGCACGCACACAAATATACAAATAATGATGCCATGGAATAACATTTCCCTCAAAAGTGGGGAAATTGTATCTTGCTTAACTCATCATTAAGTTAAAGGTGCCTACAGATTTGCCCGACATTGTCGATCAGGTGCCTACAGATGTGCTCGGTTTTGTCGATGAAAAACGAATATAGCACTTATTTGTAAATCCAAGATGGCGGACACGATTTTTCAAAATATGCTATATGGGTATCCTTTTCGAGGTATTTGGGGATGCTCATTACGAATATGGCACTCATTTCTAAATCCAAGATGGCGGACACGAGTTTTGAAATAAATGCAATATGGGTATCATTTTCGAGGTACTTGGGGATGCTCATGACGAATATGGCACTCATTTCTACATCCAAGATGGCGGGCACGATTTTTCAAAAAAATGCAATATGGGTATCATTTTCGAGGTACTTGGGGGTGCTCATTACGAATATGGCACTCATTTCTAAATCCAAGATGGCGGGCACGATTTTTTCAAAAAAATGCAATATGGGTATCATTTTCGAGGTACTTGGGGGTGCTCATTACGAATGTGGCACTCATTTCTAAATCCAAGATGGCGGGCACGATTTTTTCAAAAAAATGCTATGTTGGTATCATTTTCGAGGTATTTGGGGATGCTCAATGTGAATATGGCACTATTTGTAAATCCAAGATGGCGGGCACGATTTTTCAAATAATGGCAAGTTGGGTATCGTTTTCGAGGTATTTGGGGGTGCTCATTACGAATATTGCTTTTGTTTGAACTGTCGTGTTTGCCATCTTGGATTTAGAAATGAGTGCCATATTTGTATTGAACATTCCCAAACATCTCGAAAACGATACCCAACTTGCCATTATTCGAAAAATCGCGCCCGCATCTTGGATTTAGAAATAAGTGCCACATTCGAAACCTAAAACCGAAAATGCCATAAGCAAACATTAAAGAAAATAACTGTTAAAATAGATTAAAAAATCGCTTAAGAATGCTCCCCTTTTAAGAAAATAAAATATTTCAATATCAAATATTTCGCTTGAGTTACGAAAAGAAAGACATATAATAAGCTATCAAAGTTGTACTGGTGGTGCCAACACTATAGTAGAAACAAATATATAAGTACTGTAAATTTGTTGCAATATGTGCTCCAATTCAAATAAAATTAAAATAAATAATTATTCAATAAAGCATGAACGCAGAGCCGTTAAAAGTATTATAAAATAATTAAGTGTCCCAATCACTTACAGGAGTTAACGAAAACATTTAATGTTTATTAAAGTAAATATTAGTTCAAGATGCGCAAATAAATCTAAATTACAGGCACCACTAAAATTTACGTAATATAATTATTTTGATACAGAATAGCAAAATGGGGAGAAAAAAAATTCGTTACTTTGCAACACTTTCGTATCTTGTTGCCGCGAAATTATTTTTCTGTTTTAGTGAATATTTACATAAAAATATGAGTTGAAACGCATTACTTACTTGTGGAATGCGATGTTAGTGTCTATTTTATGTTTGTCTGTTGTATTTTTACACCCATTTACCGCACATTTCGTCATTTTTAGCAAAAAATTTTGGAGCTGTTCGCGGTGCAATATGACCTTGAGCACTAACAGCCCGCGCGCTCCTGGGACGCGTTTGGAACCCTCTAACTTGCCTCACTTAGCGTGTGCGGGCTAGGTTTCTATGCGTTATTATTCTAAGTATGTAATATAATAAACAGAGATAACAGAAAAAAACACCAGAGTCGCTGCACTGCCTGACACATGTACATATGTGTGCTGTAGCACTTAAAAGGCCTTAGCTCAGCCGTTATTTTCAGCTATAACCTATAGTGTGCCACGGATACGATAACCAGCTAGCTGACCCCATTTCCAAGTTGTATAAATTAAGTAACTAATAGTTTCGAAACTATATAAATACGAAATATAATAACTGCACATCAACATTATTAACCTTAATTTTCTATAAGTATGTTTTATATAAACTCTGTTTATATTATGGGCGAAGGAGGTACCTTTGAACAGGGATAGCTTAGAACAAATGCGTTTACGTAGTCAGGTTGAATGAAAATGTAGTGGGAATTATGTTTATAATAAGGCACCACCGAGCACCATACCTGTCAGTGGCAACGATCAGTGTGCGCGCGCCAAAAACTGAATGAGAGGTCGTGATTAGTTTCAGCGTCGAAAAGTGAACATTCTCAAAAACAGTTGTAAGGATATTACTGGAAGAATATAGATAAAGTTGAGTTGAACTTTACCTGTCGTGAGTATTGTTTTATGGCTAAAATATTGAACCTATAGCTTGAAATCATTAAGTGTTTTACGCATGAAAAATATTTGTTATTTTGTAGAGTACCCATTGGGGAAGCTTTGAACAAATCAGGGGGCAGCTTTGAACACGTTAAGAGGTTCTGATTAGCTTCGTCTGTTAATATTTTCATAAGAAGATGTTTTGTTTATTTTTTTATTTTATTCCTATTCCTGTGATTTTATAATTAATCACATTAAATGAAGTTAAGTTTTTATTTATTTTTTATATTGCAGTAATTAATTTAAACTAAGCAGATTGAAGAACTATATAGTATTTTTTTTAATGGGACTGAGGAAATCCGAAACCATTGAAGGTACAAGGAAACTGTCTTAGGCTTAATTTATATTGCGGCGGAAGGGAATGGAAATGAATTTTTGTAACGATGTTGTACATAGCATAATCAACTTTATGGTCAATTATGTAACGTACGAACTAAATAGTAGCAGTAGAGCTCCTTGTGAAAGAGCTCGTCCAGTGAAGTACTGCTTACCTATTTCTGCCGCCAAGCAGTAATGTCAGAATTACTGCGTTCCGTTTTAAAGGGTAAGGTTCCTGGTGAAATTACAGGTACATGGGACTTGTCAACTTGTCTCAGGTTACGGGAGCAGTGGCAGTGTGCCTCAGATCTTTGCGATTTAAAGAGATGATTGGCACTGTAGCGGCATGTAGTTTACCTACCATCAGACTTGTTCATCCCGTCACTTGATATTATAAAAATAGCCAAAATCTTCCGAGGAATGCACGAGCAATTTCGAAGAAGACAATGGTTTTATCACAAAACCAAGATTGCTGCGTGTCCCAGGCTTAGTTCGGTGAAGGTCGGAATTCGGTGGCAGTTATTAATCACGCTACACATCACAAGCGAAGCATTTTAGAAACTTTGCAATTCGTATGTATTATTCGTCTATCGCGCCCCTGCGGCTTCAAAAAGCTTTTTGCGTAAAAATACGTAATTCGGTGAATTTGGCCCAAGTCGATTTTTGAATTACATTTCAAAAAAATATATACGATATTACAAAAACCGTGTTAGCCTAATGGTTTAACCTACTGCCTCTCAAGCAGAGGGTCGTGGGTTCGAATCCGGGCCCTCACCTCTGAGTTTCTCGGAATTTACGTGCGAAATTTAATTTGAAATTTATCATGAGCTCTTCGGTGAAGGAAAACATCGTGATGAAACGTGCACGTTAAAGAAGGTTCACGACCCTCGAAAAACGTGTGAAGTCCCCATATAAAGTCCCCAACCCGCATTGGGCCAGAGTGGCAGACTATGGCCAAACACTCGTCTGAAAGGAGACCCGTGCCCAGCAGTGGGACGTATAGATGGGTTATTAATGATGATGATGATATTACAAAAACTAAATTTTATGGTTGTGTGTGATATTTTTTATAATATTGTGTTGTAACGACTGAAATAACTAAAATATAATAACAATTTATTGGTTTTACAAGTATTGTCGTTAACGACTAATATAAAAAATATATATATTTCCTGAATCCCGTGGCCTCGGATTCGGTGGATTTTACGCCACCGAATTCAGAAAAGCTTCCACCAAACTGGGATCGAAGCCATATTTTGTTTGAAAAGCAAGAATTTTATGTGTTTTTTCATATAAATGTTAAATTAATATTATCGATTTTCACAATTTTATTTGATTTTCATAATTTCTACATGCTTCCCGCTGAAAATGAATAGGGAAAATCAAAACAGACTAAAAGAAAAATTGGAAATCAAGAATATGAAGAAACGTGCTAGAAAAGCAAAGACAAAAAGCGATCCAATTATATATGCAATATAGGCAGCGAAAGTTTAAAGAAAAATCTAAACGACGGACAAGCGAAAGGAAAGATTTTGAAGTTGCATGACATACCTCGTCATGTATAAAAAGCAATGAAAGATATTAATCGCGCAAGTTCGGAAAAATGGATTGTTTTTGTTACACATTGCATAGGAAATTTGTTTGCGTTGTTCTGGTCGCCTTTTATATAAATTTTAGTTTTTTAAGCTTTATTTAATAGTTAGTCATATAACTATTACATATAATAAATATTTATGTAGATTATTCAATGTTTTTATTGCCTTTTTCATGAATTTGGTGGTAGCTGAATTCCTGGATCATATATGTCATTAACTGTTAAGGTTCTAGTTGCCTAATTAAGAGAACCTTATATACGTTTGAGTTCTTTTTCCTTTCCGCTCAATGTTTTTCCTGAAATTAAGAAAAAAATTCGACCACTGAAGTCAGAAAATTTAGCGCTTCTTGGAGAAATGCCCAAAAACCCTACTCCCCTCACTCGTATAATTCGTTGCTTTTGTTTAAATAATTTTTTTAGCTAGATAATATACATACTGCGGCCCTCATCTAAAGAAATACAATATATAGCTCAAAATTTTTCGTTAAAAATTACTTTTACTACCTTGCAGCATTTACATAACTAGTGCATTTAAAAAAGTAACAGTTTGTTTAGGTATATCCTGTGTTGAGTGTACCTACGTCTCAAGTTTGCGTGTTGGATATAGTACATGATGATATTTTACTAATACAGGATGTCATAAAGACAATATTTCAAGTTAAGTCTTTGCTATCACGAGTAGGTACCACGCTCTTCAGCTGACGCACTTTAATACTACTTTTGTAATCCCTTCAGAATCCACAGAAGCTTTGAAGAGCTATCTGAGCTCTGCATTTAAGTCAGAGGGTCGTATTCTAGAACTCTACTCAATGCTCAAGTCAGGATTTGAGTATGGTTTAAAGCACTCGAAATCATACTTAAGTCCCTGCCATTACGGTCGTATTTCCAGTGCGTGTGTTACCAGTGCAATCCTGACTTGAGCATTGAATAGAGTTCTAGAATACGACTCTAAGGGTCGTATTCCAGAACTGTACTCAATGCTCAAGTCAGGATTTCAGCAGACTTGAGTATGATTTCAAGCACTGGAAATCCGACCCTAATGGCAAGGACTTGAGTATGATTTTCAGTGCTCACTGCAATACTCAAGTCCTGACTTGAGCATTGAGTAGAGTTCTGGAATACGACGCTAAGTATTGACCTCAAGTATTCATATAGTAAATGCAAGTCAAATTATATCAGCAAAATAGCCACTAGATCTGTGACTATACAAACAAAACAAAGACCACTTGCACGTACATATTATTTATTATTTTGATTCGTCGCATGTTTGGAGGTGGTTTATCAGAAAAATATATCACGATTTCATGGTGTTGAAATTTTGTCAATAGCAGAGAGCCCGCACTGCCTAGCATTGTATGTTTACTTGTTACCGGGGCAACGGTACAAAATAAACCACACCTATCGAGATCTAAAGACTAATGCGAGACCCAGTTTATCGTTTCAGTGTTACTATGCAGGTTAAACAATATATTTTGTGATTAAATTAAGTAAAGGTGTAAGCGATAACCATTATAATATGTAATTGAGAGTAATCATCATAGTGTACATACAGGGAACACGGTCTAAGCTTTTAGGTAATATAACTAATCACTCAAAATGTTGGACAGAAACGTATTGTAATGTATATAACTATCAGACAGGTAAAGTAATAAATTAATTCAGTACCACAGTGCGTTAGTTCGATCGTGTGAAGGAAGGTGTACTATTTGCCCTGTAAGTACCTAACATTGTTGTATAGAATATAAAATTTAACAAGGCATTTTTTATTTGCAACTCACAGAAAATTACTATTGTTTTAGGATTATACAAAATAATAAAGAAATACACAGACAAGTTTATTTATTACTTCGTATATATTTTGGTAACTCGTATGTTAATTAACTATTAAATAATTATTTAAGAAACTTGTCCAATACTTAAAAATACAATAACAATGTCTTGGATTAATACTTCTTAACGTTCTTATTTTCTAAATTACTAAGTAATATAATTTACACATTTTCTTAAACTTTGGCCACAGAAATTTTTTACCATTTTCTTTCTTTCAACTAGGATTCAAATATGATCGAGTGACTGGCACCAATATGACTCTGTCGCAGGGCAGAACCTTGCAAGTTGGGTTGTGGGCGTTGTTGGTGTCAGCGCCAATAATCTCCGCCGGAATAGCCTGTCTTAGCAACCCTTGCTTACACGGCATTTGTATTGATGATATTAATAGGTAAGTAAGTAGTGGCGTCTTCGAAAAAGGCGGATTTCCTTATTTACTCCTAATGCAGAGTCTGGATAAGTACGGAGTTTTCTATAAGTTCATAGGCATGTATATTTTGCGAGACTTAAAAAACATGTGAGATGATATTTTCATAATTCAGTAATCGAAACCAGTACATTATTTTGCTTTGTCCACATCCCTGCATTCATAACAAGTCATTCAACAAGAACCTTTTTTTTATTTGAGTCGGTTTTTAATAGTAGTCACTGGACCGAAGCCACTAGGCTTGGCAACAAACTAATAAGTATTTTACTTATCGATAACATCACATAATTTATATGTAGGTTAGTAGTCCGCCATCACCTCATCAGTAGCTGCTCCATAAGTACTTAGTTATTTTTATCTTATAGCACGTATTCGTGCTACTGCGTAGACGGCTACACTGGAGTCCAATGTCAGACAAACTGGGACGAGTGCTGGTCGGACCCATGCCAAAATGGAGGCACGTGTCTTGACGGTATCGCTTCCTACAACTGCTCCTGTCCTGAGGGCTTCATTGGTGAGAATCTACAAACACACAACTAAGCAAAACATCTCACCAACTAATAAATAAATGGAATAATTTCTTCTGCTACCAGGAGACAACTGTGAGACGAACTACAACGAATGTGAGTCGAATCCTTGCCAAAACAATGGAACATGCATTGATATGACTAATGGCTATGTTTGCTCCTGCATTCCTGGTTTCTCTGGCGAACATTGTGAATTCGACGTCGCTGTATGTAACACAACTGAAGAAGTACGTTGTTATAACGGTGGTGAATGCATTGAAGGGCCGGGTTACAAGTTTTATTGCAAATGTGCACCAGGTAAGACAATATTTCTAAATCTACTTCAATACTTCAATGACGCCCATTGAAATATTGATTTATTCCTTATCGTCTAAATGCTCAGCTATATCAATGATCGCAGGCACCACAAACATTGTGCGAGTGCGAGTAAGTAATGAGTTGTATTTAAAAAAAGGAACGTGCTTTTTCAAAAGACTGTCGTGTCTTCTCAACGTAGTCGTAATTTCGATTTATAGATTCATACTAGAGTTATTTCGGTCAATTACAGGTTGGACAGGCCGAAAATGTGAAGATCAAATCGATGAATGTGAATCAAATCCTTGTCAAAATAGCGGAGTTTGCATTGACATACATGCCGATTACATGTGCGCATGCACCTACGGTAAGATAGAAATATCGTAACGTTTTTTATGGAACTCGAAAATACGTAAACAAGATAGAGATTATAGTATAAAATTATTACGCTTTTATGTGCCATATGTTACAGGCTTCACAGGAAAGAGTTGTGAAGTTCAAATAGAATTTTGCGAAACAAATGCATGCAGTGACAATGCGCTTTGCGTAGTAGAAGATGGTTTACGTGTTTGCTACTGTGTGCCTGATTTCCACGGAGAACGCTGCGAACTGCAATACGATGAGTGTCTGTTGGGACCCCGGTGAGAATATTTTACAAAATTTGGTTTCGTTTTCATTATTTATTAACTTTAGTTCAATTTTGCCTAAAGTAGTGTCGAGTAGGTATATTTCTGTTTTAATTTTTACATATTTATTTATAGATGTATGAATGGCGGCACATGTATTGATGGTGTAGATAATTTCACATGTAGCTGTCCCCCTATGCTGACCGGGCCTTTGTGCGAATGTTTAATACTAGAAGATGGAAATTTCGATTGCCAATACATCAGCTCAACATCTCGACCTGAGTCAACATTAACTGCTTTCTTTACCACATTCTCAACTGAATTAACTTCGTCTGAAATGATAACTACGACGTACTCGGGATATAACGACACTATTCCTAGAACAATTACTACTGTTACTGAAAATGAAACTTTAGTAACTACCACCTTAAGTGGTGAATCAACTACCACAGAAAGTACTGAAACAACTACAGATCAAACTCCATTTGAAAGATTTTCAACTGTAATCGAAAATAAAGATACAACTTTCACCACAGTTGTAACTACAACAGTAAAAGAAGAAGAAACGGAAACTGAACAAAGTATTACTAGAGAAACAATTAGTTCTGAAGATTCCAGAACAGAAACTACTACTGAGTTTGCGCTTCAATCTAGCGAAAAATCGACTTTATTCACTATTATAACGCCAACCGCAACCCCAGAAGAAACTACCACTTTATATTTCAACGAAACTGTATCAACAGACACAATTACCATGATAACAAAAGAAACGTTTCCAATAACAGACAGTACTACTCCGGCAACAGCGTCATTACCAAGTACTAAAATAGATATGATAACGGAAAAAATTTTCACAGAATCCCCAACCGAGCATGTAGTTACAGATGTCTCTATGTTAGCTACAGTTTCTACAACAGAAGCAATAGAACTTACTACGACGTTTGATAATAACACTTATGCATTTACTACTGCAGAATCTGAATGCACCGACAACCTTTGTAACGATCACGGCACATGTGCTAATACTCTTCATGGTATTCGAGTAAGTATGTATTTATTATGTTATTATAAATCATTTTCAAATTCTTAACAAATTCTTTTATTTTTAGTGTCACTGTGCCTTTAATTACGGGGGAAGATTTTGCGAAAACAAAATTTCCATAACTGCTGCAGCTTTCGGTGAAAACACTTTCATAACTCACAAGTTAGATAACACGACATTAATCAACGTAACATTTAATGCCAAAACATTTATCAGTGATGCTCAGATTATGCATGTGGATATTGCGAAAGAAGTTTATATGCAATTATATATAATTTCTGGTTTGTTAAAGTTCAAGTTTTCCTGTGGCTATCAAACCATGCTTCTAAGTGAGCTGAATACATATGTAAATAAAGGATATCTGATGAAGATTGAAACCAGGTATGTTGGCAATTCATAATGGCACAAGCATCCATAGCAACTTTGGATAATTCTCAATCATCTTTAAACCATTATTTGCAGTTTGGATTTACATCCAAAGGAGCAATACTGCAATGCGACTCTTCGCCTTAATGACACAGTTGCCATGAGCGGAGGGCAAGTGGCCAACATCAGCTCCTTGGATCATAATGCGACACTTCACTTGGGAAACTCGCCTGAGATTCGAGACACTGACCACAAACCGTTTATTGGATGCATTGCGGACTTTATGGTAAATTCTCTCACAATCAAAACCCAGCCCAACAAAAACTCAAATTGCGAAGAAATGGAATCAAGATACAGACGTTACTGATCATTATATAGTGCATTTATAATTTCTGACGTGTATTAAAACAACCACCCAGTCAACTTTTAAATGTTGCTTGATTTTCTATTCTCTCTAACCAACTGCACGTATTTTTAAGGTAAACGGAGAACAACGCGAAGTATTCGGAGACGCAATTCACGCAACCGAAGTAACTGAATGCTTATCACTGTCCTGCTTATCAAACCCTTGCCATAATGGAGGTTCTTGTAGCGACCATGGCGACAATTATACTTGTTCTTGTACAAATGGGTAAGAGTGCCTACATTTACTTACTTACTCCGCTGGCTCAGCGACCCAAAATGTGTCCCGGCCTCCGAAGCGAGATCATGCCACATCTCGCCAATTGATGGCTCCACGGCGTCGCTCCAGCGACACCTGAGACGACCAGCCGGTCGTCGTCCAGTAAGTTAACCCAGACAGGCTCCCTTCACGTTCCGATCCTCTCCCATCCTTTCTAAATGGCCGAGCCAGCAAAGTCTGTGCGCTTTGGTTTCGCCGATGATGTTTGGCTAGACTAGATCTGTAATATCCCGTAACAATTTGATTTCAGTTGGATGGGGCAGCATTGCAATATATCAGTGTGCGAACATAATCCTTGCCAATCAGGCGGCAGTTGTATCCGACATCCTGGAAGTGGTTTCCTATGTCTTTGTCCCTACGGAAAATACGGGATCTTCTGTGAATACAGTACGTAATGTTTTATAATTACACGTACCTTATACCTTATCTCTACCTCTATAAATTGATATATTTTGACAATGTTTCTGTTTCCAGATGTGGAAATAACTCGTCCCTCTCTTGCTCCTATTAGCACTGGAATATCTTCATACCTTATGTACCCCTTATCTCCATCTGCTATAAATTCCGACCGCTTCGACCTTCGACTGCGTTTTCAAATGGCCGATATGGATCAAATTGCACTATTGGCCTTTGTTGGACAGAATGGAAAACACGACTCAGGAAGCCAACACATGGCGTTGACTTTTGTGAAAGGCTACATTATGCTTACGTGGAATATGGGAATGGGTGTGTTACCTTATTTATGAATCAATATTATTAATTCATGATCAACCTTACTTGTATAGTCTTTAAAGGGATGATTGGTTCTAAAGAGAAAATAAGCAATATTTTATTATTTCAACTTAATCCACATTGACGCACACGCGATCTCTATTATATTAGGCACATATTACCGAACCATCCTAACAATTATTCAGCGTCTTCACGAGTTATCCCACTCCTCCATCATCAAGTAACCGCTACAACTGCTAAAGGTGTTTGTTGCATTGACCAATTAGGGCCTCGAAGAATTTTCACATCCCGAGCGCTGAGCCCTCGACGAGGAGGTCACACAGTACGAATGTGGAGACGCGGCCGAAACGGTGGTTTCAATGTGGATGGCCGTCACAATGTTTCTGGCAATGCTCCAGCTAGCGGCACTAAGATGACACTCCTGCCATACATTTATATTGGTAAGGCTATTATTTTCATAATTATACCTACCTGAAAGTGTACTTAAAACATAAAGTATGTAAGTATACTCGTATACAAGTAGTAAATGAAGTTTAATGAAAGGTACAGGTTTTCAAGACATTATTATTTCCAGGAGGTCATCCATCCGAGGATTTTAAAGACCTTCCTCATGACCTACCTTTACATAACGGCTGGAGAGGTTGCATCTGGGAGATTGGTGGGCAAGCGGTAGGATCGGGTAAAGCTGTTGGAGGCCGGGGAGTCGGACAATGCGGGGTTGCACAATGCACATCTAAATCTTGCAATGCTCCAAAAGGTGTCTGTATACATTCACCTGCTACTTACGGGTACGGCAATACTTTATTTTTACAACACTAACTAATGCAACACACTCATCATACCACAATCGCCATTTCAGGTGCATTTGCAACGAAGGGTGGTTCGGAGCTACCTGTTCTACAATGAAGAGCCCATGCGATCCCTCTGTTACGCGATGCAAGGGTCACTGTGTGATCACTGCTGATCGAAATTCTCAATGCGATTGCCCTTATGGAAAAACAGGCATTAATTGTGATGAAGGTATTTTTCAATAATTAATACATTCAGCCCTTCTTTGCCGAAATCCATGATAATAAAAATGGAAGTAAATTTATTTGCTACTCCGCGAACCCAAGGAAGGTTAAATCGTGCAAAATTGGGAAATTAATATCGTGTTGCGACATTAATTTTTTACAAGTAAATAGTCATCACATCAGCCGGAAAACCTTCACTGCTGAACATAGGCCTCCCCCAAAGTAAATAGTATCTACATACAAAAAATTAGTCAAGTCCATTGTTTTTATGATTCCAGACATCACACCAACAGATGTTCTGTTCACTGGCGTGCGATCATACGTACAGCTACACCCGCGTCCTATCAGCAGTGTGAGCCTGTCTCTCGAAACAGAGATCAAGCCGACCAAAGAACGTGGCCTGATACTCTTCACTCAAACACCGCATTTCTACACTGCGCTTTCTTTACAAGGTGGCTTGTTGGAGTACCGTTGGACTGGTAGGTAGAAACAACATTTCATATTGATTTATTTTTTATTTTATTTATTTGTTTTCATTTAGATTACAAAGATCCGTTAATAACTACGTTGTAGACTAACATACATAATAATAATAAAACACTATTTTATTTACACGTATGAACTACGACATGTGACGCAACGTGTGTCAGTTAACCGGCTTCGGAAACGTCGGTACATAACATCCTTCGGTCAAAACTTTTCCTTTAAAAAGGTCGGCAGATGTTGAGTTGGTACTCTCGCCACAAATTAATTAAAATTCATTGGGCCAACAACAACCGCTCGACCGTCAGGGTGACATTGACTTTCACCAGTGTATACTTCTCTGCAGACTTTGTGGAATAATGAAGCCGTGTCATGAATAACAACGTCGTCTGTACCGCTGGTCGTAATAGATAAGGCCAGTCGGGGCGTGTTACGTGGCACACAATAATTATTTTGTGAACATTTTTTTTATATTGTTAGGTGCTTTGTCCCATGTTGTAAGTCAAACACGTATAGTTTGTTTATGGTTGCGTCTTGTAATTTTATTTAATTTACTTGCTTTCAACCTGTCTGCGATAAAAATTTTCTAACCATCTTCTCATTCCAGATCGTCTATCAGGAATGACGTCTCTAGTCCGCAGCAGTGTTGTTTTAACCATGACGCAATGGCATAGCGTGAAGGCTGGTCGTTATGGCAGCCGCCTCTACGTTTGGGTCGACGGTTCCCTCAGTACAGAGGCCATGTTGGCTCATGCTTACCCTCATACTCAGACCAATGCTTCTATTGACGTGGGTAAGGCATTAAAAAAAAGGAATATGGTGGTCGTTAAGTCATTAATAAATTGAGTATGGTCATGATTATATCTTAGGTGGCACCAAAGATTTATCTCAATTACCTTTCGATGTGATGTCTGGACCTCCGGAATCATTCAGTGGCTGCGCACGTGGTCTGCATGTTAATAATGTCGTACTACCTCTAGAGCAGCGAAATATTCAAGGTATTGCTCATATTATTCTTTAAAACCTTGGCTTCTTTAAAGCGCAGGCCGCACTGCGAGTGAAGCTAAGCTAGCTTTAGTTCACATAGCCGCAACATATTTTCATATATTTCACATCGCAAACAAAGCTAACCGAGCTAAAGTCGCATAGTTGGTCGCATGCAGCTACGTGAGCTAAGCTAACTAGCTTAGCTTCCATCGCAGTGTAGCCTGCGCTTAATTTTTTTTACAGATACTATAATGTGTATTTTATAATTCTAAATTTTTTAAATAAATTTCAGCTTCGATAATGGTCAATTTATTTGCTTTCGATGCTTTTATTTATTAAACGAACTTAGCATCACTTGCCCATCATTTTCGGAGTCTTTAAAATGCCGTTGAATACTTTTTAGACGGCCAAAATTTGGGTGATTGTGACGGTACACCATGTGGGTCTGAAACCTGCAGCGGGGGCTCTTGCATCGTCGAGAACGGTCGCGCACGGTGCTCTTGTGCTGTTTCAACAGGCAGTGCGAGCGGTGGGACCCGATGTAGACGTCACGCGACTTGTACACCGAGCACTTGTATGCCACCCACGGGACGGTGTAGAGCTGGTGAATGTGTCTGTTATACTGGCAATACGGGTGTCAATTGTGAAGAAAGTAAGTGGATTGCACCCCTCATGGAACGGCCTAAGTGGAAGTACGTCAAGCATGTTTATTCTCCATACAGACAAATACAACTCACATCCTCTCCAATTGGAGATTAAATCCAGAAAAATGTGAGCCACATCCTCTCCGATTGGAGAGGATTCTCCAATTGGGTTATATTTTTCCGTATCTAATGGTGCAGTAAACATGTTTGACGTAATTCCACTTATGCCATTTTCCACGAGGGGTGTGTTTGAAAAACTAGGCTTTTTAATTTTAGCTCAATGTAACAATCTGATTAATGAAGGCTAAAATGCTTTATAGTTCCTTAGTATGTATCTCACTTTGCAGAAATAAACATCACAATACCTCAATTTAACGGCGATGGACTTCTTTCCCTCAGTCGAAGAAATAGACTTGCGCATATTGGTGAACAGAGGCTCATCTCGAAGCAAATGCGTCCTTCCTTTATGAGCCTTAATTTCACTACGGCGGTACCTAATGGATTTTTGTTATGGGCAGATATGGTAATTGTAATATTTAAATTGGACACTTTCTACACAGAACAAAAAGTTAAACATACAGATAATTTTTTATCTGGAACAATAGGGAAAATCCGAAAAGAAAAAAACAGAAACTGTCTTAAGTTTTTTTTATGAAAACATTTTTAGCATAAAGTCAATTTTTTGATGAATCGTGAATTGCCCGTAAAAATTAATATTAACTATTTTTTTGTCAACTGTGACCATGGGACCTGTAACGGGCCCGAAACGTTGGTGGTTTGTGGTTTGAAAAAACAAATGTACGCGATTTAAATCCGGAAAAATAGTTTAATTTCCTATGTGTAACAATCGCTAAAACAGGAACTCGATATTTTTTTTAATTAAAATCGATTCAGTTTCTTGTAAGGTGATTTCATTATCTGAAAAAAAAGATCCAGACGGCAGAAGTTGGCCAAAAATAAAATATTTTTTCCTATTGTACAATGCAATACGTACTATAATATAGTATAGTATAGTACGTATAGTTCACAAAGTGTTCCATTATTGAATGTCATGTCGCTATTACTACACGAAACTAAAATATGGAACGCTTTTGCGGCACCCAACAGTTTTTGCACAGATTTATAGAACGACCATTGTTCTAACAGCGACGCGATATGAAACACGACCGAACAGATGTACTTGCCTACTGCACAAGATGGAGGTCATACTGAACATTTATATAAAATTACAAGAAACCGAGTTGATTAGTAAAAGAATTACTAAATTTTATTTATTTTTACGTACAACACACGATTGACCAAAATTTGACTATGCCAACATAGTTTTCACAAAAAAGAGTTGTCCTTACGACACTTTCCTGTATCTCTTATGGTTTCGGATTTGCCATATTGTCTCTGTTAAAATACATTTTTCGTATTACTATCAACACAATCCTGACTTTAAAACTTAGAGGATGGATTTTAAAAACATGGACAAAATAACTAAACGGTTCGTGTGACAACTTAACAGACAACTTTGTTATTGGTCACAGGATATGGATTATTTAGGAATGGGATTGGAAAATGGTTACCTCAAACTAATATGGTCGTTTCGGCACGAAAATATGAGTGGTACAGACTTCTATGGAGAAGTGGTGAATGCAAGCCCAAAGTCAACTTCTAGATTTCTTTCTATGTTAGTGCTAAATGCTGGATATTTGGCAGATGCCGAATGGCATGTCATTGTTCTGAGATTAGAGAAAAACAATATCACAGTGACCGTAGATCAGGTGTTAACGTACATTGAAGAGCCAGGATTGACCACAGAGTTCGGCTATGACAATGTGAAGCTATTTATAGGTAAGTAATGTATTATCGAGTTTTTAGGTTTTCGCGATTGTTACACATAGGAAATAGTTTTGTTTTTTTTTCGAATATAAATCGCGTATATTTGTTTTTTCAAACATACCTACAGCTACGTTTCGAGCTCTTTATAGGTTCCATGGTGGCCGTTTCCTGGTCGGCTGGATGTCAGCCGTATGTAAAAGGCCCGAATCGTTGGTGTTTGAAAAAATAAATATACCCGATTTACATGAAAATGAAATGAAATAAAAAATTTGAAGCACCCGTCTTTTTTATATAAGAAAATGGGTGCTTTGTTGACGATAAAGTTTCGTTTGCTCTGCTCGTCGTTGTATGCTTAGTTCTAAACGTAGTATTCTGCAATACTGGATTATGGTATATGGACGCCTTCACATTAGATGCCTATAGAAGCGCCGCAGTGGCGCATCAGTGGCGCGGCACTCCTGATTTACATATCTGAAACCGCAGACTCAGCGCCAATCGTGATCGTGACACGTGTCCGATGCTGATGAAATTACAGGCATGTGGAACCTCAAATCTTTACGATTTAAAGCTCTTGAGTGTAGCTTACAAAGCACACGACTTGTTAGTGTAATTGTGTAATTTGATATTATAAAAAAAGTACTTTTGCATTAACAATTAGTGAAGTAGGACGTACGCGCGGCTGCCGCACTACAGTCGCGCGACTGCAGCGCTTATATGTGCGTCTAATTTGATGGGGCCCTTAAGGCAGCGTAATTTTAGATGATGATATCATGAAAAAATATCAATTGTTGTACAGGAGGTATCACAGAAAAGGAAAATGATTTAGCAAAGAAAATATTCCCGAACAATTTCAAGGGCTGCATAGACCAAATCGCAACAGAGGAGCAGTCTTTTATCACCAATTACACCGGAGTGTACAGCGAAAATATCAAGTCGTGCCAATTGTTCCCTTGAACACCAACTTTATAAAAGTTTTTCTATATTAATAGTATGTAGTGTTGCCTTTTTAATACTAATAGTACAAAATTTTTTCTAGTCTTTATATTATAGAATCAAAATTGTGTGTTTTCGATCAAATGATGTTGTATATTTTATTAAGTTATTATAAGTGCCTATGATAATTGTGTCCTCCAGAGTATGAATAGTGCCTAACACTAGTGACTTCATTAAAAATTAAACATTTGTCGTACACAAAATATAGTTTTATTGATATATTCATGTTTAATAAATTGTATACATAACATCGTCAAATATTATATTATAAACATATACATTTCGTTATACGTCACTAATTCAAACACAAATACAATATGAGATGTTATCCCCGTTAATTAATTTTTTTACCATTAAAACATTTAGTCTCAACACTGTAGAATTTCCTTGGCATACATGTTCAGTTCTCAACATGCCCCTTACGCGAAGCTCATTAACATCAGATTTATTTACACTTCAATATAAAGCAAGATGTACAATTTATAAAAGTCGTAGAATTCATTAGGCCTATTTACAAGTGGAATAAAGTTGGAATGCTTGACCGTACACAATTTATCTTGACTGGTGTATTGTACAACGTGAAATTCTTAGGAACATCGATTCCTTTACAGTTACCGCACGACATTATAGATTCACGATAAATTTCCTAAAAATATTTTTTTATTATAAGCGATAAAGGATAAATAAATTGTTAATTGCACATTATTATTATAACCATAAATTTTTCGAAAATTAAATAGTTCCTTTGCAATAACGTAAGCTGCGCTTACATTTCTCATTTATGCCTTAAAGATATAGGCACAAAGTGAATTTCTGGCTACCTCCAAAACAGTAACAATAAAATAAGTTTCTAGAAGCTGAATAAAGAACCCTAGGAATGTTTTAGACAACAATATAAAATACAGAAGAACAAGCAGATATAAAATCACAGAAGTAAATATTCTATATTTACGAAACGTGTATACTTTAAGTGCGCCACGGTTACAAGTACCTATGTCATAAACACCGAAATACGTGTATAATTCACAAAGTGACATTGGTGGGTCCAGCTAATTAATAGACACCAAGCCCGAGGCGGCGCTTGTTCTTAGTGGCGGCATCACTTGCACCACTGTTACACACCGCACCGGTACTCGCGTAACATACAAATTTAACAACATTCAGTAGAGAACAATGACAGACACTGAGAAACGACAAGGTTTTAAAATGTGAATCCCACAATAATATTGATAGATAATTTACGCTATCTTTATATATATTGTATATACATAATATTAAAAAAATGAATATATATAAAATGAATAATTAAAGACACTTTGCTTATCTACGATGAAATTAAATCGTTTTAAAATTATATGTATAGATGGAATACTACTTTTATTAACGATCTTTCGAATAATGTTTGTATAATAATGTATGAATACGGGATTTATTTGTTTTATTTCTCGCGACGATACACTCAAGACTTATTTTCTTAAAAAATATTCCAAGATTGGATTTTTAACAATTCCTTATGTTTTACCGGGTGGTAACAATCTCATTATTTCGTAATCTCTATTTATAAACAAATTACCCTAATTAATTACATAATGTCATTAATAAAAGTCATGTAATATGAATAAAAACTAAGTAATCAGAGTATATTGTATATGAGATGGGGCAGCCATGACTGTCGCCACTTCGCCGCGCCCGGTACGTCATCAAAAAGTATGAAGGCATTTAAAACATTATATAGAAAAAAAGCATTTACTTTAAAATCAGTCTCATTCGCATAAGGAAGTGATCACAGCACACACACTGGAAACTCGTTGCAGAGTGAGGGGCCACGTCCCTCTCAACAGAACTATACAATAATAATAGAGCACCTTGGTTGCTAACTTGCTACACTTAAATTTGATAAAACTTGTAATAGACCAATCGAAAATTAAAATTCAAAAATATGGAAACACACAGAGTCAAGAAGACTAACAACATAATGGAAGTACATTTTATCACTTCATAACAGATATACACAATTTGGTTTAATAGAATGATAAATAAATAAAATATATCGCATTTCCTGCTAAAGGAAATGAAATAACAAGTTACAAGTGTAGACTAGACAGTAAAGATTTTGTGTGAAGTAGAAAGATACGTTACATACATTGCTAAACTTCACATTTACTCATAAAACATATTAAACATGTGAAGTCGTAAATATTCAGAGGTTATTTTAAACACCAACATTGACAAAAAACGTGTGCTAGGCCGTACGCGAAGCTTTTCTAATACATTCGGACACAAAAATAACTCTTGTCTGACCATGCATCATAGTCATATTTATATCTAAACGAGCTCTTTTTAGATGATTTTAGGTAAATATTTATGATTCAAAAGTACAGCGCTTTCGCTGATATGTTATATCTACATAATATTTACATAATATAAATAATGCAACAAATAACATACTTTCCCTGTGGGTATAAATATGTGTAAATATTTTAGCACAATGTATGGGTACAAAAGCGAAAGATGTCATTATCATAAATAAATCTAAGATTTTTTTTAACGGGTAGATACACGTTGCATTCGGAACGTGGAGTACGTTCGGCGAAGGCTGCTCAGAAATGGCAATGTCGTATATGCTAGCCTAGCATAGTTACCATTAAACAATTCGGAAAATAATTAACTAGATACTAGGCCGCGATTCGTCCCCTCATAGAATACACGGAGGACAAATCGCGCGCCTCCCGAGCGTCGTGCGAGACACCCGTGACGTCACTTACATTTACCACATAACCCAGATTACAAAAGTCGTAGCTCTTCTCGTCGATTGCCATTCGTCCCGTGTCGCCGGAGGACACGCGCACTAAACGTCAACTCGGAAGGGCGACCGCCGAGCGGGCGGGCGGCGGGCGGCGGCGAGGGCGCTCAGATGCGGGCCAGCGCGCGCGGCAGCGCCGCCGCCAGCGCGCGTCACGGCCGCGGTTCCACTAGCCGCGCCACCAGCACCGCCACCAACACAGCCAGCACCAAGAACCCGCCTGCCATCAGCAGGGCCGCCTGCAACACGCCAGCCGTCAGCTCGTCGGTCTCACTGTCGACGTGCGCGGCGCTCGAAAGAGCCTTTAGTACCTGTCTCGGGGAGAGGTGCCTGACGGGACGCGCGCGGCGCGGGCGCGGGTGCGGCGCGGGGGCGGGCAGCGTCAGGCGCGCGGCCGGCGACCACGCGCCCGCCAGCCCGCCGCGCACGTAGCACACGCGGACCAGGTACTCGCTGCCCGGTTCCAAGTCTTCCAGTTCGTACTGCGGCGCCGAGCCCTCGTACACCTGCAATCGAACGTTCAAGTTTACCGTAATGTCATATTATACCGCTTCGGACCAAAGGCGACACCCGCGACGTCCTCCGCACCTGCTTGTACACGTTGTCTTTGGTCCGCGCGCACTGCAGCACGTAGTGCGTGTCGTCGACGGGATCCCACGAGACGAGCGCATGGCGGGGCGCGCCGAGGGCGAGGTCGGGCGCGCGGGGGGAGGGCGGCGGCGCCGCGGCCGTGCGCACCTCCAGCGGCTCCGACCACGGCCCGCGCCCCCCGCGCTCGTCACTCGCGCGTATCCGGAACAGGTACGTCGTCGCCTCGCGGAGTTTCTTCACCTGCAAACGGACGCTCGAACTTAAGAATGAAGTAGACGTATACAGTTTAATTAAAAAAAAAAAATACTTTCAAGAAATACTTATATTTATTTGGCCTAATCTTTTACTGCAATTACTCTTAGTTACGTCAAACGTTAAATTTACCAGATTTTCAACGTTTTAGAGTGGCATATGCTTCATTTAGGAGTCGTTTGTCATTGCAAAGAGTAACCCTGCAAGACTATTGGTCAATATTTGAGAGCAGGGAAAGAGCTGAAAATATCATGACTACAACTGGTGCAAGATTAACTGTATGCCATCACAATCGCGTATTTGAACTACGCCGAGGACGTCGAGTTGAGCACTCGAGACAATGACATTAATACGTACCTTGCATGTGCGAGCGAGGCCCCGGTAGACGGGGCGGAACTCGCGAGCGTCGGCCGCTCGCATCTCGACGCAATACTGCGTGCCTTCTTGCAGCTGCGGCCACTCCAGCTTGAGGTGGTTGTGCGCAGGTGCCTGTGCGCGCAACGGCGGCGGCGCGGGAGGCGGCGGGCGCGTGGCGGCGCGCATCTCGTCCGACCAGTCGCCCTGGCCCAGCTCGTTGATCGCCGCCACACGCACGCGGTACACGGTGTCGGGCTGCAGGCCTCCCGCCAGCCGCTCGGGCGTAGGCCCGTCGGTGTCGAAGGCGGCGTCGCCCACCTGCACGCGGTAGCGCAGCACGGCGGCGCCGTGCGCGTGCGGCGCGCGCCACTGCAGGCGCAGCGCGTCGGCCGC